TTGGAGCTGCAGGGATCGGCCTGTCGGGTTGTGTTTCCCCCCTGGGAGGCTGCACCGGCCTCCCGTCCCCTCTGCCTCTCCAGGAGAGATGCCGGTTGTGCAGTGGCCGTGATTAATTGATTGACACAACTGGCCCTTGGCTCAGAGCCTGCTCGGGGAGCTGCTGCCTCAGACCTCTGCTGAGGGCTTCTCACCAGTCCCAACCTCTGGCTGGTCCAGGCCCATGCACACTCTGCTACTCAGCAGTTCAGCAGCCTCCTCTAAACCATACAGGAGATCAGCCCTGGCTTAATCTGCTGTTACTGCAAACAAACACTGGTAGGAACATGGGAGTTACATAACACAAACATCTCACGTGTTTTTTAGATAACCCATTCTCTGGGAGTAGCAACCAGGAGAACCACCAAGCCCCAGTTCACTGACTGTGACTGGCTCAGCAGTGCTAAAACCTGAGGTTGCTGAAGTGCTTGGCAGTTCCTCATCTGACCACCTGAACAGAAACACAGCCCTGCAAACTCCTGTGAGAAAGGGCATCCTGCTCGGTTGGACATCTCTAGCTTCAGTCGTCGTCGTCTAGCAAAAAGAACGTCACCACAGATCCTCCCTTTCTCATAAGCTCACTTGCCCATCAGCATTTGCTGACTCCTTCAGTAAGAGCAGCCCCTATGGAAACAGTCGGTTTGTTCAAGAGTAGTTTCAGTTCATGGCTGCCCACACAGCTTCTGCACCCCGAAACCGGCCTCTGAAATCCAGCTGGAAAGGGGTGCAAAGGTGAAGGCAGGTGTGCTACCTTATAGATAAATATTTGAGTTTCAGGCACTGACTAATGAAGACTAGGAACGTTTATGGAAACCTCATGCAATTACCCTCACATTTGAAAGCTTATTTAACGTTTCAATCGGAGTCCTGACAAAGCGCCGGTTTGCAAAATGGAGACCTACAACATATCAAACATGAAACCAGAAAGTCTTTTTGATAAATGAGTTGTACCCACAGATACAGAACAAAACCAGTGTAAAAAGTACAGTTGTCTGCAGCTGTGATTCTTTCAAGACTAGTAACATACAAGAAAATACATACTAAAATTGAATTTTACTTTATCAAGAAAGCAAAAATGTATGCTGAATTAGTCACCTTCCCCTAAGTCTAGGACTGTATTACACTTGTATACGGTGCCATCAGGATTGCTTATTGTGTCCGAAACCAGTAAGATTTGCAACACATGAGGAAGAAAAGAAAGGCTTTGGTTAAGCAGTTTGTTCACTAGCAACAACACCATCACAAACAGAAGAAATGCAGCAAAACAGTAAAAACGCAACTGCAACCTGTATCTCTTGTGTGCTGCTGGAGAGATAGGTTGACTTAGGGGGAAATGACTTCAGTACATTTTGAAATTCAGGCTACTGTTCCTTTTAATACAAAGCAATTGAAAACTATGTGATTTCTGTTACCCAAGCAACAACACTTGCCATAGTAAGTGACCAAGTGCATGCCTGGATTCCCTGTTAAACCATAAGCTGCATCTCCTTTCTCCAAAATCCACTGTACCTTCACAACTCCACTGTAACCTCAGTCCACAATTGTCTTAAGCTAACACATTTCCCTTAAGCATAGCTTACCTTATTTCAAACTTTTGTTTTCTAAGCATGCCCTTGTATTCAGGAAAGCAAAGGAAAAGGACACAGTGTTCTTTTCATCCCCTCCTACTTTTGAAGAGTAGATGGCTGAAATATCTTAAAATTAATGAGTCAATAATCAGAAATATCACTACCGCATATCAAAATCCTCCAAACCTAGTGAACAGAAAAGACAGGATATTACTGTGACTTTCACTGTTCAGTTTCAAGTGTCCACAGTTTTGTGGAGCAAGCACAAACTCTGAGTCTTCACCATGTAATAATTTAGAAATACACAAGGAAACAATATTATCCTTGTTTGTTATACCAAGACAGACAGCAAAAGCTTGTTAGGTTTTATGGAGGTCAAAGTCATGGATGACATGACTTCTACGATAAAAAAGTATGTGGATTAGACAATAATGCAAATTAAAGTTATTGGGATGTAGTACTCTCTGGGAAACTTTTTAAATACTTTTTCTGCATGAAAATTTTAGGACTCTGCTTTTTGCAGTAGCAAATGCAAATGTGGTAGGAAGACTAAGCAAGCATCAGATTGAGGTCTCCAAAATCCACAACCTTCTGGAGAAAATTTTTAAGTATACATATACAGTTCAAAATCCTAATTCTCCTTTCTCAGTCCTTTAGTCTATTATCTTATTGCTTATCAGTGAATCATTATTTCTGTAGCACAGCTACGTTACTCAGACTCACCTGGCTTTGTTGGTCTTCACAAGTTTAAGCCACATACTTGACTTGGTGAAAGGACGTAATTTCTTGTTACTCATTCTCACTCCATCTTTCCACTAGCCCAGCAGGAAGAGAATTTGAAGTGATCTTAAAGTCATATGCATTGGGGAAGTAGTATACGTAGATTGCTAACCATTCCACCGTCCACTTTTCTAAAATCTTCTGGAACGCACAGGTGTTGTTACTGTAGAGCAGTTGCCAGAGCAATCCTATGTAATAAAATACAGCTCATGTGAACAGTAGGGGGAGAAAATGGAAAAAAGCCCCAAACAACAAAACCACCCCCAAAACAATTCACAAAACCAATAAGACAAGAAGGATTCTTCTGTCTCAAGATAAACTTGTCTCAAATTACACTTACTTCTAAAATTTACTTCCTTGCTCTGTTTAAAGATGGATCTATTGAAGCACTGTGGGGTATGTCATGTTCAAAATAGTGAAGTATTTGAAGTTGAATTCCGGAAGCTAACAGACAGCATGGCACAGTAAGTAGTTAGCATCCTGAAGCTACAGCACTAAGGTTATAACTAAAATACTAGAATATCCTAGAGAAAAAAATTCCATTTGAATGTTATTTAAAGAAAAAAAAAGGAAAAAAAAAAAGCTTATGCTGCTTGCTTTGTTAATGTCTATCAATCTTTTCTAATGTGACATCATTATATAAAAATATAACTGTTCTCAGGAAATACACTGGCTTCTACTGGAGAAGAATATTGTCATGAAACCACTCCTGCCAACATTATTTTAAAAGTCAGCTAAAATAGCAAAACTGAGAAATCCATTTTAAAGTGACGGACAGGCCTCCAGAGGACAGTTACAGTTCTTTGGGTTTCAAGGAAAGGATGGTACTTGTAGTCTTTATAAAGCTCATAGAGAATTCAGAGCCCAGAAGGTGCAAGATAACTTGGGCTTAAATCTTGTTGCAGAGGGGTATCCACAGCCCATAAAGGTTATCCACCCAGCCAGCTGGATGGTTTGTTAATGTGCTAAAGGATTGCCAGTTGCACTTACCTCGCAGGCCTCCCTGCAGGTTCCTTGCTGCTTCCATCTTGATCCTCATAACCAGGGCTCATGAAAGGGACATTAGAAAGCTTTCATCAGCTGTCTAGTGCAGACAATTATTTTAAAGCTTTCTAATTCTCCTTCAGGGCTGTGGAACTGAAACAGGAATCTCACAAGGTTATCACATAGCTTCCTTTAAAATTACAGTGCTTTTGTCTCATCTCAATATGACTGTCCCTCACCATGCATTATTTCCATACAGAGACCATGTCACAGATGTGAAACTAAAAATAATGGATTACAAAAATACATACCTTTAATAATATGACTATAGTTGTTATTTTCTAAGTAAAACCTTAAAATCTGTAAATAAGGTCCTTCTGTGGTTTCTAGGTTTGGGCTAAAAAGTAGGACAACAGTGACAATGATTTATTTTGAAGGACTGATTACCTTTTATATCAGTTCAACTCATGAATATTATTATTCCTTATCTTAGAAGCTACATTTAACTTATCTTTAAAATATTTAGTCTAAAATATATTTAAAATGTTCCACACAGATAACACAAAATGTTCTGCTTATGTAGCCTATTTTGTGTACTTACCACTTTTGTATTTAAGTACAAATACTCATAGCTGAATGCAGTGATGTTGTTGACAAAAAAAAAATGCATCAGAACCTGACAAAATCTTCTAATTTGTGAAATAATTATTACTTCTCAAGTTACAACTGTACCACTGATTAATTCTCAAATATCAAGTGTACTACTAAGGGACTTCATATGCATACATAGATACACAACTTAGTGCCAATCTAATTCTAAATTTGACCACATTGCAGTTGTAAAAATATGCAAAGATTCCATCCACAGGGACCTTATTTCGTATAGTTTAACAATGTAAATGTGACTTGCAGACACTAAACATTTATGACTATACTTACTTCTGAAAAATTTTACATTTATGATAATATGGGAAATATGTATGCTGTGCATTAGTTTTATTCTATACATAAATGTAATCTTGAGCAAGTAGAAAGTCAAGGTAGTGTAAGTTACTGAAAAAACTACTGTAGTAAATAATTACAGGTCATATGAGAATAAAAGAATCACTTAGGTTGGAAAACACCTTCAAGATCATAAAGTCCAACCATTAACCCTACTATACCAAGTCCAGCACTAAGCCATATTTCCAACACCACATCTAGATGACTTTTAAACACAACCAGGGATAGTGACTCAGTCACCTCCCCAGGCAGCATGTTCCAATGTCTGACAACCCTTTCAGTGAAAAAGTTCTTCCCAATGTCTAGTCTAAACCTCCCCTGGTGCAGCTTCAGGCCATAAATAAAACTGTATGAAACAATTACTAAACAAAACTGTATGAAACATTTTTTAGTAGTTTGGTCACATATTGGTAACGTTTATTTTAAAAACAGAAAAAAACCTGATACATGTGTCCACACACACACCATACATTTCAAATATAAGTATAAAGATCTTACATTTCAGTTTCTCAAATTTTGTTTCCACAGCAGTATTTAGCTTTATTTTTAATAAAGACATCCATTAATTTATTTGAGATTAGTGTTAAAATAAAAGGGTAATACATTACTAAAAACTGAAGCTGTAAAAAAATAAGCCTGCAAATTTAGAGCCTTTAAGCAAAACAAAAATAATAAAGTGGTAGCACAGTTAAAGATAGCAAGATTGAGATTGCACAAATAAACTTTTATGCAACTCCCCCTCTGCTTAACAGTTTTTATTTGAAGTGACAATGACTAAATCCTGAGAATAATCAAACTGAACCATGTTACGTTATTAGAATACAAGAAAAGTATTCCCACGCTGACAGTGACATACAAATTGTTTCATCCCTAAACTAGCAAACTTGGAATATTCCTCTCCACTCATTCCAAACTTAACATACTTAAAATGGCTTCCACTCTCCCCCATACATATTCTTTAAAAAATCTTTGTTAATTTCATTTTGATAAATATGGTAGATGTTTATTTATGTAAGTCATTGTTGTAAGGGGTATATGGTAAAGATTTCTAATGTCAAAATGTTGAATATATACAGTGCATTGTTTTAATATCTACTCAAATCTTGTGGTAATAGCATGTTATGTAAGATTGAGAGCATAATAGGGAAGCAAGTAATACTTCTTAAAAACCCGCATCTTTGAATGGTGGTTTCATCATAGCTCTAAGTGATATAACTTTAAAAAATATACCAATGGTTATCTCCAATATAAGAGTAAAAACAGCATATAAAGAACATTTAAATAGGAATGTATCCATTTGTAACCCTTACTGTTTATGTATTACTTGATTTTTTAAAATGTAAAATTAACACATTCTATGGAAATACAACATACATCATTAAAAATATGGAGCTTCTTTGGTTTTCAAGATGCTCGTGATTAAAAGTGCTGAAGCTTATATGCATACTGGTTGACTCAGTTGTCATCAGAATTGATGACTGAATTAGTGCAAAACTTTTACTATGTGCAGTTTTCTTGTATGATGTAGTAGCCAATAAGATATTCAGTTATGTTTTTCCACCTGCATTTTTACCTATGCCAAACTCAGTTAATAAAACCAACAAATAACAAAACTTTAAGACAATTAAATAGCATTATTTTTTTATAAAATGTATTAATCTTAAACTTTACCTTCTACCTGCCTCCCTCCCTCCCTGATTGCCAGAAATACAAAAGATACATATGGTAAAATAATCCCTAAAAATAGGTATTGCTAATGTCAGAAAAAAAGTAAGAGTCAAACATGCTCATATGCATTTGACTATCAGCTTTCTAATGCTTTCTTATTTGTAGTAGGTATGTTTGTCTACTAAAACTTTCAAATAATTTTACAAAAAGATAGAAAAATATATTCAATATTTGTTGCATAACCTTCCTGCATTCACCCCAACATACATGAGTCTTACACAATGCTATAGAACCTTTTAACAGCTGCAAAACCACCAACCACAATGCAGCACCTGGAAAAAGGTTTTGATAAGAACATACAATTGAGTATTATGTGAACTTGAAGGTATTTTTCTTCAGGTTTCAAGCTAGGTATTTTCAGAAGTAAACAAAATAAATATATTCAATACCATGTTCATATGAGCATCCATGGACACAGAGACCTTTCTTGATTTCTTGCTAAATCCTGAAGAAGAGCTGGTGATGTGAAAAGTAGGATGACAAAGTCTGATCAACTAAGTACGACAGAATGACTTCCATGTCTAATTGTCACAAAGTTGTTCTGCAACAAGCTGACAGACTGTCATTTAAAAAATGTCCTTCAAGGTCATTCTGATAACTTTTTTTAATAATGTTTTTTTAAGTGCTGTTAGTGATCCAACTAAGCAATGACATCATGGGTATCACTGTTGGGTCTTTGGCGTATAGTCAGAGGGGGCAGAGGCTTTCCATAGAAATCTGCATAAGAAATGGCAGAGAAGAAAAACACATTCATCTGTCTTTTACCATCTCCTTTGCTTGAAGGTTGTTTAAATACAGTACATTCTTGCTTCCTTAATGAAAGTTAGGTAGCCTACAAGTTTAGAGCCAACTCCTACGAGCAGCTTTCAGACACTGTGCTAACTAATGTCTGGAAGTGTATTTATCAAAACAGGGTTTAATTACATTTTGTTATATGCTCACCAGTATTTGCAAGATCAAGCCCAAAACCAGTCTGTAAACATCCAAAGTATAGAAAAAACAATTGAAAACATGAAGTTTCAAAATTTGAATGTTGCTGTAGTGCAGTTTCCATTCCAGTAACATTTTAAATTACAGTAATGTTATGCAGCATCAAAGATTTTGGCATAATTTATGCACGGAATCTAACTTGAAAGACATACTAACTTTCTCAAATAACTATATTAAGAATTTTTAAATAAAAGTGCATTCCTTTTGTCAATAAAGGAATTTAAATGACTAAAATTGTTAAATGCAAAGTTATTTAGCACACCAGAAGAGAATAACAAGTACTCTCAAACATTTGTAATTTATATAAAAGAAAAAAACTAACATGCAGACTGGTACATGCAAACCATTTCAAAAGCAAAATATCATGAAGGATGATAAGAGGAACAGGTAGAAATCAAGAAAAAAATAAAAGCAGCTTTTTGAAGCATTCAAATCTCAATTTTGTTTATGCAGATAAGCTCTTCCTCAACAAAACCTTGATGGTCTGCCAACACAAAATTCAGCTTTAATTCCTAATTTCTGAAGAAAAATATATTCCAATATACAATAACTTCTGTTAAAATTGAATTTCTGAGCTAAAATTAACAAAAGCACGTTGGATTACATTACTCAAATAATATGTGTACATGTCATAGAATCAAGGTTTTAGTTATATTTAATCCATAGAATAATACCACTTTTATATTATTCTTGTAAATCCTTTGATTTTAATAGAGCTAATCCAGTGTTAGAGCATCACTTGGAAGCAAGAAAACTGCAACAAATTATTATAGGGTAAAGGTAAATCTGTACAATGGATGTTTTTATAATTTTTTTCATTATTTTATTATTTTTATAGTTTATTTATTTCCTGAGGTCTGACAGGCAACTTTAGGACAGGCATTTTTACTTCCTATAATGAGAGAGATTTATTATTCTTGCAGTTGTATCCTTCAGTGACGATAAACAGACACTCATTACCTAATGTTCTAGAATCACTATCATGACTGGAAAAATGCAGTCTTTAGTGAGAATAATTGTATAATTAAAGATGTATATAATTGACTCTAATGCCTGCTAACTCTGCCTAAACATCCAATGTAAAGGTCTCTGCTAAGAATGACACAATGATTCAATTCATATACTAACTAGCCTGCTTACTAACACTACATTTTTCAGTTTGCACATTAAAACATTAAGACAGATTTATGTCTCTGAGAAAACTTAGCATTAAAAACTGGACCTTTGGAGGCTGTTTCAACCTCACACTAAGCTAATTTTATGTATTTCAGCAGCAAGGTCTTCCACATATCTGTGACACTTCCAAAAAAATAATTTTCAAGACAAAAACAAAGGAATAACTGCTATCCTAACTAACAAAGACCTGTTCTAGAACATGTGAGAATACTAGGAAACACCTGTTTCTATGTTTCTGCATGGACTAACAAGTATCAACACTACAAAGTTGTATCTGTTTTGAAGCTTAAACAAGTTTCTTGACTTACACTGAGGAGCTGTCAAATGTTTCATTGATACACTTTTGGGCACAGACTATGAAAGTACTGAAAATAACCCCTCTGCTTAGTTAAGGATCCTTAAACTTTTCAAAGCAGACTGTTAAATACCTTTTGCTTTCCTTGCCCTTATAGACACTAAGAATTTTCTCTGAAGTCCTGATAAAAGCATCTACTGGGCATCCTACTGGAATGAAGGATTTTCAGCCTGGTCTACATGAAAGTAGGTGCTTTTCAGCCACTTGTGACTTTTCAGCCACTTGGCCAATAACAATTTGTCAAACCAGTTTGACAGAATGCAGTACTGATATAGAAAACAGTACACTTTAGAGAATCCAACAACACCCACAGAAAAGAAAGCCTTGCTAAAGTCAGAGCTAAAGGAAGTAAAATAAAAAAAATAAGCTTTCATTTAAAATTATACCTTCAAGACATTTATATAAATTAGATATGAAATTAATGAGGAAACCAGGCCTTTTTATTTCACAAAGGTCAAATGCCTTCGTGAAAAAGAAATTTTAAAACCACCTTTACAGTGAATTTTGGACAAAACTGGTGAAAAAAAAATATCTGCTGAAAGGACATCCAAAATGAAGCTGTTTCTCATACAGATGCAATTTAGGGAAGATTCTAAAAATGAATCAAAGGTCAGCTCTGCTGGTCTTAGAAAAACCTCAAATGAGTTTGCATTTACAAATGAAAAGCAGGTTCTCCATCTGCAAAGTATGTACAAACTCATTGAAAAACATTGTTGTGTGACAGAAAATGGGCAAGGACAGATGGGAAGCTAAAATCAGTGCAAGATGGACTTGGCAGTGTTCAGTTAATAGTTGACTCAATGATCTTAAGGGTCCTTTCTGATCTAAATGATTCCATGGCTCTCAAGTGGTCTGAGTAAAAAAAAGAACTGCATTAAGCAAAATAAGTAACTGATGCTCTCTGACCTAACTAAAGTTTTGACAATGCTGGACCACGTGTTTGAAGAGCTTTTTTCCTTTATAAGTAGTGTTTTCCTAATAGATGTTTTTTTGCTCTTAGGATTTTGCCTATCTGTGGGAATCTTATGAGTGTCTCAAAATTCCTGAAAAAAACCCAAATCTCAGCAAAGAGCAGGCAGTGTCTTGAATTCAGCTGTGAAATTCTAAGCACTGAATTCTGAGTTCTGATTTTGACATCTCCAGACAAAAAAATCATTCCCCTACTAATATATTTTCTGTTGTTAGATTCCAAAATACTTTATTATGCTTATTTTACAAATGGAGTAAATTAACACAGATCTCAGGTTACTAACTTACACACCTGTGAGTAAAGAACCTAGCTTAAGCACTTTGGTTTTTTTCCCTCTTTGTCCCACACATGTTCTTGCTACAAAATGCAACACTTCCCTTCGGCACAGATAAAAGTTGAATATTACCCCTTCCCTCTCTTCCCCTCCCTACCTCTTCATCTGGCTTTTCTTTCTTGCCGCCTTCTCTCTATTTGCCTTGAAAAAAACAGAGCAAGATGGTTTTATGATTAAGACTACAAATTACAATTTATGCACAGGAATTACACTTCTATGAAAAACAAATATCTAGGTTTTTAGAGGTCTTATTTCCCCTTTAGGCCTCTTTTGATTCTTCGTCAGAGAAGCTCCATGTTAGAGCTTCAGCAGGTGTGTCCACATGGTGCTGTAATACACGACAGTAGTACAATCAGTTCAAGTCAGAGTTAAAGCTCAAGGATCACTACAGCCACAGTGAGCTCCTTTCTCTGTAAGTTTCTCAATTAAGGTTCTCTGTTCAATTTGTGTAAGTATTCCCATTGCATTAGTCTGGTTATCCTCCTCTTATATTACTCTAGATGTCTCTATATTCACTTGGATTTCAAAATTTGAAAATTAAAAATGTAAGAAAAATTAAGACATTATCATAAAAAACTGAAAAAGATGTAATACGAGCATATGAAAAACAATCTTTCACAGTTTTCCAAAAATAGGAAACAGTAATTATTGAAGAGAAAAATCAAGAATCTGCCTACTACACCCTGCCATTTCCAGTTATTAAACTTATTTCTTCTATTTGTGAACTTTCAGGGACACTGGCTCTTCAGATAAAAGAGCAAATTCCAAGATTTATCACTGACACCTCTCCTTGCAGATAAATGACTTTGTTTTCAATTGGAAGTCTCAGAATTTCTAAATTCGAATTTATGATGGGCTTTTCATTATAGCTGGGAAGTTCTTCATTTGAAGTTGCTAACATAATGCACTTTATTCACAGGTGCCCAAATGTTTTTAGCTTTCCTTTACACAAGAAAATACCTCCTAATCTTTGACAAAAATCTTAAGACTATGCTTTTAAATCCATATGGAAACAGTAACAGTAGGTAGTAGTAGTTTTAGACTATCTCAAGAGGAAACACAAAGGGTCATGTAACACACAGCAAATTCGTTTAGATGTAGGCTACAATTCATAGAACTACAGAAATACATGAGCCCCATTTGAGTTCAGTATTGTGAACCTTTAGCACTTCCAGATCAGATCATGGAATTCACAGAGTTGTCAGACTTGGAAGGAACTTCTAGAGATCATCTAGTCCAACTCCCCTGCTACAGCAGGATTGCTCAGAGCACATTACTCAAGACTGCATCCAGGCGGGTCTTTATTATCTCCAGAGAAGGAGGCTCCACAGCCTCCCTGGGCAGCCTGTTCCAGTGCTGTATCACCCTGACCATAAAGAATTTTTTTCCTCATATTTAGATGGAACTTCCTGTATTCCAGCTTGTGCCCACTGCTCCTCATCCTGTCACTGGGAACTACTGAAAAGAGTCTGGTTCCATCCTCCTTTCACCCACCCTTTAGACACTTACAGGCATTAATAAGGTCTCCCCCAGCCTTCTCTTCTCCAGGCTAAAGAGTCCCAGCTCTCTCAGCCTTTCTTCATAAGAGAAATGCTCCAATCCCTCAGTCATATTTGTTGCCTTCTGGTAGACTCTCTCTAGTATTTCCCTGTCTCTCCTGAGCTGGGGAGCCCAGAACTGGACACAGGATTCCAGATGTGGCCTCACCAGGGCAGAGTAGAGGGGGAGAATGACCTCTCTCAACCTACTGGCCACACTCTTCCTTATGCACCCCAGGATTCCATTGGCCTTCTTGGTGGCAAGTGCACACTGCTGGCTCATGGATAATTTTCTGTCTACCAGGACGCCCAGATCCTTCTCCTTGGAACTGCTTTAGTTAGTGTGGAAACAAACAGGCAGCTTAGAGCAGACCCAGCCTGGAGGTGGAAGAGTCATTACAGATGCCAATTTAATAATCCCTGATGGATCTCTCAAGTCCTGCTTAGGTATTTCTTCAGTATCCTCCCTACCAAGTACATCTGGACTTCTTCCAGAATCCAGGTAACCCAAGTCCCATCCACATTGCATAAGATGATGATGAACTGTCCACATATAGATAGTGGAAATATCCTTTGAAACTTTCATTTCAAATGCAGTATGTGTTTGGACTCTAAAGATAACTGGTCCTGTTACTCTTTTAATATATTAAATACTTGGTTGCATGCTGCTGTGCAAATAACTTCAGATCATGAGGAGCTTCTGATATACTGTGCAATTTCAAACTTTATAAGGGAATCTGAGAGAACTTTTTTTTTTGGTAAAAAATGAAATAAGACTTGAAAAATCAAAAAGATGCTTTCTACTAAGGAAAAGGGTTAGCTTTTGTACAATGAAAACTGGCATTGAGAAATTAAAAAAAAACACAAAAAGGACAAAGAATGAAATGAATGTAGAAGGGAATGAACAGTGGAGAATGCTTTAAAAAAGTAAAAAACCCAAAATATTTTCAGTTACCAGTGTGATGTGTTTCACCAAGAGGCTCAAGTTTTCGAAGTCTATTAAGTTTGGGAGTTCCCCAGCCAACTAAAGGAAAACAAAGACAGTCAAAACACACCATGACTGCACTTGATTCTAGTGAAATGTACAGAAGCCAGTTCTCTTTGGGAGAAATCAAAGCATTTAGAAATGCCAGAAGTAGGTAATATATTGTATAAACAGTGAATAATGATGAAATGCTTTAAAACTTTATTAATCCTTAAAATATTTATATTTAAAATCACTTTTTTATCAGAGAGTAGTCAAGTTTCTGACTTCTTTGTGTAAATCATATTGTCTTCTCCCAGGAATTGATACTGCTGAAAGTCGTACTATGAAGTGGGAAACTACAACAAGGATTTCCTAGAGAGTAAGGTTTGGCAGCGTATCTCTGTATGAAGACTATTCCAGTTTCATCATTCACAAATGAGTATTTTTTAAAGAGTTAACAATCACAAATCAAGGCATCGATTATTGTTTGCCACTTACCTGGTGGAAGAGCTGCTGGTGGTGTGGGATTTTTGGGAACAGCATCCTCTGAATTAATAGGTTCTACTCTATGGCTCCTTTTTAATTTTAGTTTTTTATTTTTTTTCTTACTGTTATCTATACCAAACAGAAATAAAGCATTACATATCATACAGCCATATTCAGAGAATATCTTTGATAATACAATTGCTAGGGTGAGAGACAACAGCATTTTCTGTCCAAACTTGTGCAGAAAATTACATGAAATGTAAAATGTGCATTTGTACATGACATTTTGCTATGGATACTAAACTAAGCATAAGATATATGCAAACTCTTATGTTTAAATAAAGAAATTCACCCTAGCTTGGTACTGACACAAAGTGGGCTGCAAATTTGATTATGATAAAAATGAACCCAGCTTCAGCTACAGTATCAGTCACACCACACTTTTTTGCAGCAGATTGTCCAATACAGTAACTTTATGATGCATTTTTATGTTTTCAATGAATTAAACCGATGTATAATATAATGAAAAACAATACATACAGAAAAAGGGAAGAACTACGTGAAAAACAATACTAAATGACACAATAAAAGGAAGAAATTTTACCTGAGTCAAGGCATTCTGAGGTTTGCTGCTCATTCTCTTCATGCTGCAAGAGCTGTGTAGTTGTAGAACTGCATGTTTCTAGTCTGCTATCATTTATATTTTGGCTACTGCTACTTGATAATTGCCGGGCATCTGTTTGTTCCTGCTCTGCTTGTGATTTCAAGGCAGTCGTAGTCTTTTCAGTCTCCAACCTTTGCCGCTTCTTTTCCTTTTCAATTTGTTTTTCATTCTAACAAAAAGTATAAGAATATTTTAACAACTTCTAAAGCTATAAACTGACTAATAGGACAGGAGCATTATTTTAAAAATCAAAATATTCCTAAAATGTTTTTCTGTCCCATATCTAGCATGAAAGTATTTTCAAATAAGGGAAAGAAATTAAAATTTCCAATAATCTTTCCAGAGGAAAAAAAAATATTAACAATAAATAAAATAATAAAAATAATAGTATTTCTTCCTCTTTGATTAACTTTTTTGGTTGTTTGTTTTAATGTTTTAGTTAAAACAAAATATACATGCACAGTGTGTAATATCCAGAAGGTGCTAACATGATTTGGTCAAACATCAACTGTCATACAGACCTTTTCAAAGATAAGATGTTTCACAGGTTCTGTATCACTAAATCACCATCCCTGCAATACTTGCAGCTACACTCTGGTCTTCATACTGTGTATGTTATTATAAAGTGTATTATTGTGCATATAGAAGAATTTACAAGACATATGTCTATGGGCATTTTTGTCCTGGAGAGAAGCAAATGTTTGAATTACTTACTGGAAAGGTCTCTGAGTTTACATATTTCTTGATATTGTTAGCTCAAGTCAAATGAATTAAAAAGAACTACCAGAATGTAGAAACACAGGTTAAGGAAATGTTATATATTAATATGCTTCTTACATTTCAAACAAAAAAACACGTCTAAGTTGTCTTAGTTTTCAACAGAAAACAAGTTATGCTCAGAAATCTAAATAGTAGAAGTAGTCAGGGAGATTTTATATGACTCACTAAAGCACTAATAGATCTTGACTAATTTTCCCCTTCTAAAATTCAATAGCTTAACTCAGAAATGTGTTCAGTCATCTGTTTACAATACCTTTTTTTTAATACTGTGTCTACAAAACTTCTTCTGTCAATAATAGGGGATTTTAGTAACATGGAAGCATTGATTCAATTATGTGCAGACAGACTTAGAACAATTCTTTTACATCTATCATTTTTCTTATTAGCTCTCAGACATTTGCTAGTGGTAGGTCTGAAATGATCAAGATTTCCATTTCTTTTCATACCTCAGAGATTACAGCAGATATAGGCTGGAAGGGGTTTTCACAGTTTACAGGCTCAGGGTCTTCCT